ATGTGAACAGTGAGTCACACCAACGTCAGTTTATCAGCCATGACCCTCAGTTTGAGAACCATGAGCAGCTCCACCTACATCTAATTGTTTTCATCTGTTTCCTGTATGAACTTGTACTGTTTATGGCAGTAGATCGTACTGTTGCACCTGTATCGTGACATGTATCGTATGGTCAGATTCTTGACTGTACACACCCCTGCTGTTCAAACACTGTCACTATTACTTCAACCTGATGGGTCAGATGGGGCCCGCGGGCCCTGGGTTTAGCACTGGTTGTGCAGTTTTACAGCAGAGTCTGGTCACTGAGACACAGATATGTTTGATGACCCCGTGATTACAGAGTCAGCTGGAAGAACTGTACTCAACACGTGGCCCACATTCCAGGACGGTGACAGTACTCTGTACTCTGGTCCAAGAGGGTATAGAAGTACTCTGTACTCTGATCCAGGACGGTGACAGTACTCTGTACTCTGATCCAGGGGGGTGTAGAAGTACTCTGTATTCTGGTCCAGGAGGGTATAGAAGTACTCTGTACTCTCTCAGTTCTCAGAGTTCCTTCAATGACACCAAACTGTTTTGTTCTGTTATCGTCTCCTGTCTTCACTGGACCAGAACCAGAACCAGCTGAGACGACTGTGTAGGTGAGAGACGGACATGAACATTCAAGTGTGTGTGTGTGTGTGTGTCAATACTGTGGCAAAATAATGGTGGCAGTGTCTGGATCACAGGCCACAGAGTCAGAGTCAGACGCTGCCTCACCATGCTGAGGTTACTATCATAAGGTAGGCTACTGCTGTCTGTGTGTGTGTGTGTGTGTGTGAAGACTACCTCAGCAGTCTGCGTCTGTAATTTCAGGGCTGGAACACTCCACTTTGGTTTAGTTTATTTATGGGATGTCTCGTATTTTTATCTTCATAATAAAAATACTGTCGATGGGAAACCATTTAAATAATAGTGATTAAAATGAAAAGTCACATTGAGTAGCTGTGGCTTTATTGCGCAATAAACCTATACTGTATATAAAATACTTTCCTTCAGGGAGTATTATATTAGTAAGTGGTATCTGGTAATAAAACTAAGTGATGATTGTGAATATAATCACTGGTGTAAAACTAAACTAGTTTGTCAAATTCCACATCGATAATTAATGTCATGTTGTCAGACTCAAACCGTCCTTTGGCTAAAAACACTGGTCAAAAGTACCGTTTGAACGTGTGTACTAGTCAGTACTAGAGGATCGTCTTATGTAGTAACCAGTCCATGTACAGGAGCTCGTCGACCTGTTCTCCTGGACCTGTCGTCAAGATGTGGCTAAAAACTCCGACGATAAATGAGCAGGTGTGAGCCTAACAATGTAACCACCTAACCTACTACTCCGACGATAAATGAGCAGGTGTGAGTCTAACAACTTAACAACTCAACCACCTAACCTACTTAAACTACTTAACTAACAAAACGGTCGGCAGCCATTTTAAAAAAACAAACCCCGAACGTTTTCACACTGAGCCGTTTAGCGGCTAAAGATGCTAATTCTATCGTGACGATAAAAAACTCTGGAGGAGGATTTTAATTTTTTTTCATATAACGTAACAACAGTTGTTGTTTTTCAGTTGAACAGAGTTTGTTCGTCAGGTTATCGGTAGAACGACTGAAGTTCCGCTGAAGTTCAGACGTTAGCTGTTTACACTAGCGCAGGTAGCCGCTAACGATAATTAGCTTTAACCTCGACATTAATTTCACCGTGATTTATAGAAAAGCTCCGTGATGAAATTAGACGTTTTTACACTGACTGTTGGTCCTTTGAAAATGTGAGGGGACGGACGTGTACTAGCTGTTTACGCTGTAGTATTATACAGTATTTAATAAATACTATTTTTTCTATAATTGTGGGTTTATTTGTGTCGTATGATGACGTCAGCAGCTGTGACTCTCAGAGTTAAAGACCCCGGTGTCAAACATCGTTGCTGTATTTGTTATATATTTTCTCAAATATATATATATTTACTCAACCTTCTTCCAGTATTTCTTCTCTACTGTAGTACTACAGTAACTCGTGTGTTTCCTGCAGCTCTCCTTAAAGGCCAGTAGAGGTGCTGTGTGTGACTGTGCTCCTCTGCTGCCTGGTCCAGGGTCAGGACTGTTGGCAGAGAGAGGAAGTGTGTTATTGTAGGAGGATGTGGGTGGTGTGGGAGGGGGAGGCAGGGGGGAGTATAAAATGACTGCTACTTCCTCCCAGTGTCTGACGGACTCTCTTCATGTCAACATGAATCATGGTGCGGTCTAGGCCCGCTCTTGTATAATGTGGGACCATCAGTGTGTTTACCAGTGCATACATACTTCAAGTGTCACGTTGGCTCTCCAGATAAGTTAGTACTTTTGTTTTACTGCTGCGTTAAACTTGCAGTAAAAGCGCTGGTACTTTAGCAGTTGGCAGTCTGTCAACCCAGTCGTCAGACTCATATTTCTGTCCTGTTGCTACGCACAGCTCAGCTATAATTGACTTTGTTACTCATCTGTCATCAAGACGTTATTGAACTGTCACTATTTTTTTTTCTTTTTGACATTCTCTCTCTCTGTCTCTCTCTGTCTCTCTCTGACCTCTCTCGCTCTTTGCCTAGCCCGCTGTCCTGTGGTGCTACAAGAACCTAGCGATACCTGATAGGTGTGAGCTGGTCCAGGGTTGGACCATGTGGTCACTCTGCTCAGGGTTTGGCAGATCGTGGCTGCTCAACGTTTCCACAGCAGCGTGGGTCGCAGCCCTGTCACTGCCCTCTGTAGTGGAGTCTTGGGGTCAAAGTTCTGGACGTTGGTGGCTTCAGTTCTTCACCAGAACCTGGACCTGTTTGAATCCCGTCAACCATAATGACAAAGGAGGCGTGGTCTGAGTCAGCGATGCCCCGCCGCGGGGTCACCCCACATTGGTGTGCTCTCATTCAGAGGAGACTTCCTGTCCTCCCTGTGATTCTGTGTGTGCTGAGACTCATGGTCCTTATTTATTGGACAGCGTTGGACTGATGCCCTGATTAAAGAGCCCATACATTCACAGTCACCAGTTTAAGTACATCCATAAATACAGTACTGCACAGTACTGCACAGTACAACTTCCTCTCTGCCCCATCTCCTTTAAATCAGCTGCTCTGATTTACTCTCTGCTTTCCCGACTCCCCCTGGAGGTCAAGCTGCTGCGCTGCAGGCTCTGGCAGCAGTACCTGCGTAGCTTCAGTCGCTGCATTGAGATCAGGACTGTTGAAGACACTTCATCTGCTCCAGAGCTGTTGGACAGACAGTAGGAGGAGGAGGGGGGGGCTCAGGTGGTCGTCGGTGAGACTCCTCCGTCAGAACCACAGACTGGACCTCGGGTGGTTGATGCTGGCTGCTGAGAGGAAGGACGACGTCGGACAAAAGAGACTGAGAGAGAGAGAGAGGGTTGATAGTGTGAGACTGTGTCATTAGTGTGTGTGTGTGTGTGTGTGTGTGTGTCCAGTGTTTCCTGTCACTGCTGCTTCAGCTGTGTGTGTGGGACTGGATTCACAGAGGTTACGTGGACCTGTGACTCGGCCCAGGAGATGAACACCAGCGCCCCCTAAAGGTTGTGTGAGTGTCTGTCACATGAAGAAGACAAGTGACTTAAATCAGAGGGCGGGGACCAGTCATGGCCCGTGACAGAGACAGGTTCAGGTCTGATGTGTTGTCTTTGTCTTTACTGTTTGTTATGAATGTCAGAAGGTGGCGCTGTTCTCCACCTCTTCACTTCTTTAGTTCTTCTGTGGGTGGTTCAACCAGACTGTACTGTACCTGAAGAAGAGCATGGTGATGTGGGCGTGGCCAAGTGGTACCCATGTATGAAGTATTACTACCATGTAAATGTTACACGGATCATAGTAGTTATTTCTGATGTTAGAACTGTCCACTAGGTGGTGTGTGTACGTCCCATAGAGTGGGCCGCTGTGCCTCAATCTGTGGGACCCCCAGTCTGCTGGACCTGATCACAGGGGTCACATTCAACTGTGACGGGATTGGAGCTAAAAATAACCTACAATCTGTCCTCTATACTGGAACTGTAGAGGGTTCAAGTCCCGACAACAGACAGCCCTAGACTGGATGTTGTCAAATATATACACACATATACTGTATACACACACACACATATACACACATATATACACATATATACACACATATATACACACATATATACACACATATATAGACACATATAGACACATATATACACACATATATAGACACATATATACACACATATATACACACATATATAGACATATATACACACATACATACACACATATATACACACACATATATAGACACAGTTTTTCAGAGATGAATCAACCGTCTGTAGCTTCCTGCTGTGGAGCAGTGGAGTAGATCGAACCTCCTCCTCGTTTAATGTCATGTGTGACTTAGTGTTGGTCAAAGTCTCTCTGGA